TAGCTATATGTGACATGATGAAACTTTTTTAGCAAAAAAAACAAGAAAGATGAAACTCTAGTAGTTAAGACGTGTATATGGTGTATAATAAATGTTTTTGCTTCATTACCCTAAACAATACTTTCTCTATATTTAAAAGAATAATTTTTTAAAATTTTTACACATATCAAAAAAATAAACTAATATTTAATTATAAATATATTATTTTGTAGTAAATAATTTTACACAAATTTAAACCAATATTACTTTAATAAAATCAATTAATATGGTTTAAAATTTACAATTCATTAATCTTTATAAAACAATTATTTTCAGGAACCGATGGAGCATATATATTTTAGGACTCTAAATTTTTGAAATTTAGTTTTGGTATAATGGTCCAAACTAACTATCTTTTTAAGAGAAAAATTCTCCTACATTTAGTGGTATTATTTTCTTATTAAACCCCTAAAAAAAATTCACACAACTATCGATGACTCACGATTCCAAAATTTAAATCAAATTTAATTCTTCTTATACAGCTCGATCCTCCGCCTGTTTTTATTTTTCTTCTTCCAATAAATACTTCTTCCTTAATCTCTTCTTCACTACATCTCTATTTTTATTATTGATTTCACGTTTAGTGGTGTGAGCGGCGACGGTTAACAGTTTTGAGTTTAAGGTTGATTTTGTTCATAACCAAAAGTCCAAAACTATTTATAACATACACCAACATTACTGCTTGTTTAGTGTTCTTATTAGATTTTATCTATCTTTATTTGTGTTTTACTAACCTTATAGATATACAACAATATATATTGTTAAACATATAACACAGGCCCCTTTTTAAAATTGCTTCAAGCCTTGGCACGGCACTGGCAGTAGCTAGCCGCTCGCCCTAGAAAAACAGGTCGATCAATGACGATCGACTTCACTTGGCTCACTGACACACATATTATTTTGTTGACAATAATTAGAGAGATGAATATAAATAATAATTGAAGAGATCCCCATAAGGTCAAGAAATTATAATTCTTAGACACGAATATAAGCAAGTCATTCATCACAGCACAACTGCACAACAGC